TGCTTAGTTCATCCAACAGAAATATGATGACATACTAATATTATTTTATAATATTATAAAATCATAAACTTATTACGACAGCATAACAATTTCTTAAGGGGATATACGCTATTGTCATAGCCAAAATGCAAGAATTTTTTATCAAGATTTAAATATGTATTTTAATTCAAACTCAAACGTAATTTTGAAGTATAAGAATTATAAGTATTGAACTTAATATTATATATAAATTTTGTTGTTAAAAAATGGCCAAGATACAGGATCTTCCAAGAACATTTTTGTTTTCCTGAACGGACAAAGGAATTTCTTTTTGATGAAAACTTACTATATTATTAAGAAAAAACAATAATTTTGAAAAACGAGAAATGAGGTTTTGCAGTAAAGTCACTATCATTTTGGTAAAAATCGAAATATCGAAAAATCCTTCGTCAATTTAACAGATGTTGACGTCTTCTAACAGAATAATTTGTTGTGTGCACTGAAAAAAAAAGCGTTCCTAGAGATTTGCTGTGTCTTGACTATTTTTAAATATATATTAACAACAGAATTTATATATTTACTTCGATACTTGTAGTGTAATATTAAACTCTAGTTTTAATTAAAATATGTATTTAAATCTTGAAAAATTCTTGAATCTTTCCTATAACTACATGTATCCTTTCAATTATCTATTTAGTGTAACTGTCAATTCGAGACACCCCTAATCGTGATACTCGACAAGTCAACCACCGTACGTTAGGGTATATCTATTGAAGACATTTGCCTATGTTGATCGTGCTTCACTTTGCATCGAAAATACGAAAGAACCCTCGTTGACACGATTCTAGGTCGCGAACGAGTGCCCACGTTCAATTTGTACACATTCGTGTCGGAGGTTGGAAACTGGCTTCAATTGGCTCTAATTTTTCGAGTATCTTCATTAAAATCAATCCTCGTGGAATGACGCGTAGCCACGCTATTCTTTAAAATATTTGACTGAAGACTGAAGGTTGCACCACGCTACAACGATTTCAAGTGAATCAAATAGATTTAAATTCTATCATTGGTATTTCTTTATTCTACCCTTATTCTGTAGTCATTTAATTTTGTTAAGTTTGTTTTCTAACCATTAATATATTAGGCGTAGAAATTAATTCTGTACCTTTTTATAGTTAACTTGATATTTATAATAATAATGATAATGATAATTATAAAAAAAAAGAGAGCACATACTATAGTTTTAAAAACAATTGTCAAATCTGTGTTCTTCGTGAAAGTTGGTACTTTAATGTAACAAAATGGCGGACAAACATTTCTGTTCGAACTAGAGTTACAAATAATTAAATGTGAAGGTAGAGAATTATTTTCTACACCCAATAATTGGGAAGCACTTTTGTAACCTCTCAGCAGGACAATAATAAGTGAAATTTGTTGCACATTAAACTTCGTGTATAAACTACACGAAATTCATTGCAACGGAGATTAGATTGCGAACTTAAAAGGTTAATAATTTATCGTAACCAAATAAAGTGTATTTTTATTTAAAGTACAGGCATAAAGGATCGAATGTAAAGGCACAGCATTATTTTCTACACCTAATAAATTTAATGTCTCAAAGAATAACAACGTCTATGCATATGTACATGAACACGTGAAATAAGAGACACTACCGCCTACACGTGTTCGCAGCGATGCTTTTCACGGCTGCACGTGACACGTGTACACGTGTATTCTAATATAAGGACAGAATCGTAGCTTCTAGCGCCTATGTATTACAGAGAGAGGTAGAAAAAGATCACTTCTAGTATATATAAGAGGAATATAGTGCCATCAGTAAGTAGAATGAGGAAGGCTGACTAAAGTGTCTGACTCGATACTCCTGGCGCTTCCATCTATCACTAATCTTATTTTCTTCTTGGAGTACTCTAGTGGCTAGAGTCTGGCCTATCCTTTTACACTTAATCGATTGTGTGATCTAAAATCATTAAACTGTCCCTCTTAAAACAAAAACAAGTAGTAAGTGTCTGTTTTCCAGATGGACAATATTAACTTCTTACTTTATGATTAAATAAAGATGACGAATGCCTAGAAATACTCCAACACTCTTCTAAATTATGTAATGGGGAAAGAGTTTAATGTGAAAAAAATGTCCAAGTATTTGGAAAATTCAGTAACCACTTCAGAAGTTGACCATCGTAACGAATTAAATATCTAGTAGTCGACCATGTTTTATATCAGTGAATGACTACTTGAACTGGGAAGCAAGATTGTTTATTTTCTACAGATATTAATATGAATGTAATTGATTCGCTGAAAAACAAAGTGAAAATTGAAACAAAATATCGATTTTATCGAAAACCAAATTCGGGAATAGAATAGACACTGTGAGTTTTACTTCAGAAACTACATCTCTTTACTCATATTATAGTTCACCTCATCAATGTTAATATTGTATAACACACAATTGTTTTAAAAGCTGACCTTGATAACGTCAATAGATTACGATGCGGTTAACCGCTAAAACGTAGAAGTATCATAACCCAACAATATATTCTTTGTCCTATAAATTGTTACATGCAAAATGAACAGATCACAAAATGGTAAATAAATTAAAACAACAAAAGTTAGGATATGACCACCTCAGTCAATTTCTAGAATCTAACATAATTACTAGACTGCGGATCTTGATGCATTTATAGAAAATTTGAATGTGCAAGAAATTACAAAATGCATAAAATATACAAGAATATAAAAAAAATATTGATATGCGAAATAAAATCTTTGCAAGCGTGATCCTACATAAAAATGTATTTTACTCTGTCAAATATTGTAACATGAATTTTACTTCCAATATTTTTTACATTATTACGTAATGTGTACAGTTTGTATTTTCTTGCACATTCTAATTCCCTCTAAATGGACATTCTAATTCCATAAAAATCCAAAGTATCGTGATTAGGTTCGCACGAACTTTATCTCTGTACAAGTTCAATTTTTCAATGACTGTCAATTGTCAAACTTTCCTTGTGAGAAACCGAAAAATTAATTCCGAAGATCAGATGTTAAATAAAATAAATCTAAATAGGATTCGTGAATTCTAATCGGACTTTAAAAATAAATATTAACACAAATGTTAGATTACGTAGCTTCCAACTGTACAAGAACAAAATTTTAGCTTCGTTAATATTTTCACGAGTATTTGTCTGGCACTCGGTGTTAATTATCGACAAAGATTCTTAGATTTCCTCCAAGTTTAAGGGATTAATAACGGTGCATCCTTGATCATCCGTTATGCATTCTTTCGTTTGCACGTGCGACCGCCGCGTGACTTTTTATTTCCTGTCCCGCATTTCACGCGCGCGCTCGATACTCGATAAAAATAAATACGCGCGAGCCGCATTTCCCGACCGATTTCCAAAAGCGACTGACCCCGAAAGTCGACCCTATCCACCTTCCCCTAAATAAACACGGATTTATCTCTTCCCCGTGGACCCGGACCAGTCGAAGGAATTTATGCGCCGCTACGAGGATCAGATTCGACCGGTTTCGTAGCGAATTCGTCACGCTGGGCTCCCGGGTGTGCAACATGTGGCGAATAATCGATTGGGGCACTTAAAGAGGGTCCGTTTTAAGAGACAACACGGCGCAAATCTCGGTAAAAATAATAACTGTATATATTGATACGAAGGAGAAGAAGATATAAATAGAAAGATAATAATATAAAGAAAAATGTAGTCACGTTATATGAAGGGTGTGGGAAAGATTAGGTACAACTTGATTACTGTTAGGTTTACAGGGTGGATCAAATAAATTTGATAAGTATTAACTTCGTTATCAGTGCCTTTAGAGGAAAATGTCAAAGGCAAAGATAAATGGTTCAAAGAGTGCAAATATATTTGTAGAGACTATTCAAATTTTTTAAAGAAATTAATCTTCAAGATCATTATAATTGCTATCTGTGGGTGTTTATGCATTCATGACAAATGAAAATATGGAGAAATCTATGAGAATGTACACAAATGCGAAAATATGTAAAGTATTAATAATTATATACGTGTTGTATCGTTTAGAAACAAAATTTTATTTTCACGTAAGCTTTAAGTCATTTTCTGTATGTGTAAATATACGTGTCCGCATAAACATTCGTCTAGCTATCACCGTTACTATCGAAGCTTGGATATAATATGTTTTAGAAATTCGTACAATGGCAACTTAGAATAGTCAGAGACTGTTATCTACATACATATGTATAGGTAACTTTTTCATGCAGAGCTGATGATAGGAAATTAGCATCTCTGATTTTTAAGTGTTACTTCCACATATTATGTAATAGACAAGTATTAGCAGAATTATTAGTACATTAACTGGAATTATTCCCACCATAAAAGTAGTAAAAAGTATCTTTGTCGATAATAGAGATTAATGGAGTCAGAAGATAATGGAGCAATTCATTTTAAACTTCTTTTATTTGGTATTATAACTCGAGACCTTTAAATTATTCTCTTAAAGAAATAATTGCTCTAATTTTTAACCGACTTCGAAAATATATGTTTTTCTTTTTTTGTTATGTGCTTCCGAGTATGAGTCGAAATATGAAACACAAAACGCGTTTTAAGATTACTTTATTAAGATTTACTTATTTATATTATTGACAAGCATCAATACTCAAGAACTATAACAATCAAGAACTCAGTTACGATGAATAGGACACCCTGTGTATCACGTGTTGTTATTTCTTAACAATGAGGCAAAAGTAATTTAGAAATAATTACGATGACCACGGCGACCGTCTGAGAGGCGTCTGTCGACGAATGCTTCTAACTGCTCTTGCCGTCACTCGAACAGCTGTTGATACCGGTGAATTAAAGGAAGAAAGCAGTGGAGAATGAGTAATTGGATAGCAAAGAATATTATAAGGTTTCCGAAAATGATTTTTTCCATTTACACGTTAATAACGAATGGTTGACGTAGATATCGATAAATAATAATAATATCTGACTTAACAATTAAAATGGATATTTAGAAATAGTAATAGGTGCCTGATGAAACTAAAGATTAGAGATATCAAAAAATAATGATAATAATATAAAAGAATATAATAGCAGACAAATGAATGCCAGGAATAAATAGTTGCGTCTAAGTTTCTCATTAAGGAATCAATCTAATGATTAATTTTAAGGTTGCCAAGATTGCTGATCTTCGACGATATCCTCATCGACAATAATATAACTTCATAACTGGAAATGCAGTAATAAGTAGCGAATTAAAATACGATAAAAGAGTATAATTAGCGCTTCCATTCAAGTTCTCGAATGTGTATAATTAAGAGATAAAACACTCGCGAGTTATGTATGAAACGATATGTGTTGGTATTAAAATTATCTCAAACGATAATAAGACTGCAGATTTTATGCACTTATGGCATACCTACACAGTTGTAAAGAACATATGCCAAGTGTATGCAGAAGATATGGCTACTCTAATGTATTAATTTGCGAGATAATTAATGTAAATTAAGTGCAAATATATTTTTTACACGTTTGGTATCTTTTCCATATTACCATACACCATAAATGCACAAAATCCGCAGTCTAATCGCAATATACAGAGAAGGTTGACTAGCGAGCAAGCGACCTCGTGCGCCATTTTGCTGCAAATTGCGGACTTGATAGGCGAATGTCCCTCAGTGGGATATCGCAGACCCCCAAGCATATTGTCCGCTATTTATAGGCAATTTTCGATTTCTGCGACAAGCTATTGTCACGGTCTCCCATGCTACGCGCTCATAGGAAGAGGTTATCCAACCGAGATGTAAAATTAGTGCTTCGTTAAACTTCAAAAAGTAACTACAAGAAGATTAAGGTTCCGTGGATTTAATGGGGGATTTTAACAGAACTTAACTTGATTGTTTTTTGGATTGAATATAAATCATATGAGCCTTTTTCGATCTAAATTGATCATCCCATTTTGAAGACCATAAACAACAAGAATATCACAAACAAATCCATTTTTTGATTAAAAATAAAAGAGTACACTTTTATCGCATTATTTAAGGATAATTCGTGCAATAGAAAATTAATTGTATCGATAAATCAGTCCGATCCTTCTAATTACGAAGATATAGCTGATAACTCTTGAAGTTTCGTATCCAATCAGTATAACAGTACGGAGCGTGATACACACAGTTATAACTTTGGCAATATTAATTTTTTCTTAAATATAATTTGGTAGAAATATTTTAAAGACCTTAAGAAACAAGATTATCAACAAAAGAAACGTATTATTTGACCAAAAATAAAAGAGTACCTTCTTAATTAAAAATTTCTCACGTAGCACTCAATCATAGCACACTGGCATATCGCAGAACACAGATTAGAAAACGTTGATTTATAGAATTGCGTCGACTGAGGCATCCAAACTCTTGAAGCTTCTGACGTCGGTACCTTCGTTTGTTGAAGACACTCTTTACATGGACGCAAGCTGATGGAAATTGTTATTCCTGACACGCGATGAAACAATGCTTACGATTTCCGCGCACTCCTTCATTAGAATCATTTAGCCAGCGTTGCCGGACGCTCAGTATCTCGCGGCTATGTCCTGTTACTATGACTCTGTGATAAGTGAAACGAGTAACGTAATTCATTTCCTCGTTTATACGGGAAATATCCATTAACCACCTTCTTTTTTTTTTTTAAGTTGGTCCGCTTTGTTCGCAATGTTACTTTTTCTAACGCGATTTGCAAACTGGGACATGTACGTCCGTTTACTATTCTAAGTTCTAAACTGGCAAAATGTGAGGTATCTCTTTAATGTCACTATAACATTATGAAATAGTTTTTAAAGTCAAATATCAAAATATTATTTTAACACTGGAACTACCGAGCTGATCAATTTGATCCATGTACCTACTTCAAACTTATTTTTGAAGTCACTCAGTCATTAACAATTTTTTTATCGCATTATTTAAGGACAATTCTTGTAATAGAAGATTAATTGTATCGATAAATCAGTCCGATCCTTCTTCTAATTACAAAAAATATAGTTGTATAATAGATATTTATTGAACTTGGTAGTTTTAGCGATAATTAAAGGCGAACCTTGAGTAAAAACTAAGTCAAAAATAAGTATCATGAAATATTGTTGCAGATTTTCTCATATTACACTATAGCTTTTAAACAAAATACAGGTTGATTAGCAACGACTTCAAAGAGACCAAAAGTTTGAATTATTTTAACCCTTTATTTACTGAATTTGTCGAAAGATTTTTAAAATCTAGGCGTCCATCTTGGTCTTATATTAAACAATTAAAAACGAACTTTACAGAAGTGGGCTTGAAAGTCACAATAGGTTTCAAAGCGTTCAATTAATACAGTGCCATGAGAAAATTGACGGGACTTATAAGTCTCGCCAGTAAATAAAGGTTTAAGATCTGAAAGTGGGCCAATTCTGTATACATTAATACATGGCACAAAAAGTAAGAAACTAATGAAAAAAAAATAAAAAATACATATAAATATTTGCCAATGGTACATAAGTAATCGAGCCTATGAACATTTCAATGTCGTACAATAGTCATAAGAAGCTGCAGTTAAAAATTGTACCTACTTTGACCATTTAAGAATGCTGTAGATAATTATGGCGCAACCCAATATCTATTTTCCACACCAATGAAACCGTTAATTTTGCTCGGCTTTTGTTAGAAAAATCATTTGAACTGTCGTCACGCATGCCACTTTCCTCGATTAACGTTTCGTTCCATTTTCCCTCTTACTTGCCCGCTTCTGTTTGCTCGTGGCGCGCCATAAAGTCGCGCGAAGCGAGCAACAAAAGCTGACACTCGTTGGGAGCGTGCCGAACGACGGGGATCGATTAATTGCCGGCGTATCCAACGTAAACGAACAGGGAAGGGAATAAAAAAAACTTAAAAACAATGTTTAACCGACCCTAATAAACGCACTAAAACGAAATAATTATTTAAAATTCTCTAATGACAAAATTTCATCCAATAATTGCAAATGCAATATTATACTTCAATTACGCATTTAATTACACTTCAATGCTTCAATTATTTATGTAATTACAAATGCAATATTATACTTCAATTACGTACTTAATTACGCTTCAATACTTCAATTATTTATGTAATTATTATAATCAATTAATTTTTTTTTTATAAATTAACATAAGTCTACTCTTGTGGATCTATATTTATATTGTTACAGAGTGCTTTAATTGCTTTCTTTATTTTAGTTTTATTCATTTTACAAAATGGAAACTTTGATAACAGTATAAATTGTAGACATTGTAGACATCTGTCTATCAAAATTTGTGCCTCTATAAATACGTCTAGCCTCATGGATCTAGACTTGTATTGTCAAAGAATATTTTAATTGCTTTCAATATTGTAATTTTATCATGAAACGAACACTTATGATAAGATCATAAAATGTAAACAATGCAACGAGTCGGAGAACAGTAAAAGCATGGAATGCTTGCAATTAGGCAGCAATTGTTCCCGTTCATAAAAATTTCATAGCCTAACTTCAAATTGCATGCCCCGATCCTACTAGAATTTATATAGTACCACTAGGGAAATATTCTCTCTCAAGCAAACAAAAATTTAAACAGGTTTAGCTGTTACGAATTTATGAGTGAACATGACCAAAACGTACAAAGACATCCACGTACGAATCGAATTGATAACCGCGTTCTTTGTGAACAGGATTTAAAAAGGCAGCGGTCTTGAAAGCTGTCTAGAACAGTCGTTTTCCTAATTTAGCTGACACAATTTTTACTCGACGGCCGTCGCGACGCCGCGCGACGTTTCCCTTTTCGTACGCGTCGTCTCATCGCGGATGGAGGGGACCACGGGGTCCTGCACGCGGGACAGAGACAGTATGGTTCAAATGTCACTCTGGTTTATTTTCGTTTATATATAGAAACGAGAGAGTTCAGCCGGTGTCACTTACCCCTGGCTACCGCGACACTTGGTCCTTCCCTCGATGATTTCCGAAAAAGAAGGACCGTCCTTTTCGAGACCAACCCCAACGCGTTAACGAAACTTTCGTCGCTGTTCCTTGTGGTTGAATCACTTTTTTTTTTAAACCACGCAGGAAATCGTTGTTTTTCTCGGGGAAAAATGTATACTGTGTAAAGTGTCGCGGATCAACAGATGCTCTTTTATTTTTACCAGTTTCGAGGCAATTTTTGTAATTCTTTTTGGTGACCAAGTAATTGACATCCTTGAAATTTGTGTGCGATTATTTATACGTGTCTATCACTGTTCATAAGTATGTGGTTACTTTTTCAATTGGGAAACGTCTGTAAAAAAGTTACAATTTTATCAATGAGTACCGCTTATGTTTCTGTATTTCGTTTGCGTCGTATTAGAGAATATTATTTCGTCAGTAGTTGAACAGATATTATTTATAAAGTTGAATTAATTATTTTTAGACTCGATATTATGAAAAAACGAGTAACATACATAAAAAAGAATACGTGTCAAATTGAGTAACCTGCTCCTTTTCGAAGTCGGTTTAAAAAAAGAACGAAAATGTTTATCAGTTTTTGCCGTTATTTTAGAAGCATATTATATGCACCATATCAACATTTTTCACGTATATAATATAACAATAAACATTGATTAAAAGGACAGGTCTGTACTTACTTTCATTTTGTTTACAACTAAAGAAAAAGAAAAGTGTTTTTCTCCTTAAACTACAAGTATAAGTGATACTTACTATATGACGAGCATAAACGAGCCGAACGTTCCACGCCTAATTTCATTAATTTTATTCTCTATTTTTCTGCGTTTCTCGCTAGTTCTATCCTCGTAATAGAAAGATACATTTGGTGGAAGGGTTGAGCTCGCCTGATCCTCGTGCTCCGAGGCTTGTAACCGGAAGATTATCTTAATGTCGGTATTTAAACCGTGTCGTGGTGACAGTGGCTCTCTATTTTAGGCTCGTCTCCTCTCGATTTACCGTTCATTTCGTAACTCAATATACTTTGCGAGCTCTCGACCACGACGTTAGGATAGAGTTACTCAGCACAGTTCTGCGAGGACATCCTCTTCCGTCGGTGTCACGTAGGACTTCTACTTATTCTATCGCGATTGCTGCGTCGCAAATCAGACAGACAAGAACCCTCGAAAACCTTGACTTATTGCTAACAAAACATGAAAAGAATACTCGAAGAGAATACTTATAACGTGTCAGTCACGACTATTGAATTGATTCATAAGTAGATTGCGGATCTTTATGCAAAGTAAGATCTTTCCAAATGAACCTACAAGAATTGAACCTAAATAGGAATTTATTTTAATTTTACTCTGCAAATAGTATAATAGAAACTTTACTTTCAATAATTTTTTTATATTATTGCATACTGTGCGCATTTGGTAGTTTCTTGGACATTCAAATTTCCTATAAATGCATGAAAATCCGCAATCTGGTTACGAGTAACTACCGCTATAAGTAAAATACAAATTTGTTAATCTTATCTCAATTTTATTTATTTCTACATTCATTCAAATAGGATATAATATTGTAAAATATATTATTCTACGAGTAATGCCATTATTCTTATTTTAAATAGAACATACTACCACTAACTATATTATTGCCTTATGAATTTTATAATTATATCAATCATCTTTATTTTCATTTTCATTTCTATACATTCCTAAATGATTTCAGACAGTTTCAATTTGAATAATGTTAGTATTCTACGAGTAACAACATTATTTATACTCCAAATATAGTATACTAATACTAAATACATTAATATATCATGAATATTGTAATTATCAATCATCTTTATTTTAAATTTCACTTGTATTCTCCGACAAGCATTCTAGTACCTAATGTTTATTTGAATAATGCAAATGCTCGTGAAAGTATACAGACGGATAGCAGGAATCAGCCATTAAAGAGAAAAACGATCGCTCGTCGTTCGAGAGCAAGGAACTCCGAAGACGCGACTCGGAATACCTGATAAGTTCGTATTTCCTTGGGCGGAGACGCGATTTGCACAATAATGCACCTACAGGTGTTTCCATTTCCAGATGAACGCGAACATTAGCCGTATTAAAGAACAACGAACTATTCTGTAACATTTAGTATCAAACATTAACCCTTTGTCGTCGTCGTCGTCGTCTATTGAGAAAACTTCGAGAAAAACATACTAAAATCAAAAGATTTCTTAAAAAATATTAACAACTCCGTGTAAAAATTTGAAACTTCCGATCGCGAAGCATCGATGCTTGATACTATCGAAAGGGTCTCGGTGAAACGTTAGAACGTGTCGGAAACGTTTGTGTATCGTTTGTCGACACGTTCTCCGCGGTCATTTTTCATCAGCGAAACACGTTGCCAAGTGCTGACTCGCAGATACCTTATCGCGTTCGCAACTCGGATCATTAGTTGACCGCAGAACGATAAACGCCAGGTGTTGCACTACTTTGTGCATTTCCTTGAAACGGTACACCCGTCATACGGTGCTTATTTACGAATGACAACGGTATCCGTGACATCTCTACTTAAGTTATAACAGTGTTCTATAATTCTAAACAATTCTGTCTTATATTAAATATTATTCGGTATTAAGGTAGAGAATAATTAAACCAGTCGTTTGTTGTTATATAGAATTAATTCAGTCTTATATTAAATATTGCTCGGTATTAGAATAGAAATTAATTGAAAACAATCGTTTATTATTTACATATGTGATATCCTTGCTTTAATTAGTACAGTGTTCTATAATTCTAAACAATTCATCCTTATATTAAATATCTTTCGGTATTGGAAAAGAAATTAATTGAAACAATCGTTTACTATATGTATGTGGCATCTTTATATTAAATATTATTCTGTATTAGGATAGAAATTGAATGAAGATATCATTTGTTATTAATTTAGACTGCGAATCTTTATGCATTTATAGAAAATTTGAACGTACAAGAAGCTACAAAATGCAAACAATATGCAAGAATATATAAAAGATTGAAAGTAAAGTTCATGTTATAATATTTGCAGAATAAAATAAATTCCTATTCAGGTTCAATTTTTATAGGAACGTTCGCGAATATCTTATTTTGCATAAAGATCCGCAGGCTAGTTATTATATACACATGTAATATCCTTGCCTTAATTACTACAGTGTACTATATAATTGTAAACAATTCATCGTTATATTAGAGGAAACTGAGGTTCAATTGAAACGTTATTATTTACGATCGCAATACCTTTCAGAATGAAAAAATATATAATATTAAAGCGAGACAGTATACTCGTATATCAACATTGATTTAAACAGTGCTTTCTAATTGATTTAAACAGTAAATTCAATTAAAGTAAAGAAAAATATTCATTTAAAATTCGTTCCTGAAGGGGTTCAATTCGTTTTCTTTCACAAGAACGAGGCATCGAATAACGAACAAGCTGACGCCTCTCAAAGAAACACTTTGGCCCGTGTAATTTTCCAAACCGCGTCCAGCTGCGACCTTAGAATGGGGCTTCGCTGCCACGAGCCTCGCCATATTGCATTTGAATTCATAGGCCGCGGTTTCTGCATACCCAGACGACGGCTCTTGTTTCGCGTTAGTCATGCGTGTGCACTTTATTTATGTCGTTCGGGGAGTTTTTCGGTAACCGGGATACATTCGTTTCGGATCAAACGTGCTGCGTGACATCGCGAGAAAGACGCCTTTCCGTTGCGAAGAATTTTACGAGCTTTTTCTTGGTAAACGACGATTCGCGGCGTCCGTTAACGAGGATTGATCGCTTAAACCAGGCCTGCCCGACTCAAATAGTTTCGCGGGCCACTTCGATGACGCGTAACGATACAGCGAGCTTTAGGTAAACATATGAGTTAAAGAATAATATTAATATTGGGTTAAAAAATATAATACATATACGAAATACCGCTCGACGTCATTGTTCGTCCTCAGGGGCTGTAGCGGTGTTTATAGCTACAGTACGGGCTTAGCAACCCCGAGGTACCCGAGCTAGAGGGAAGAGATGGTTGAGAAGTAAGAGATACTGCAAACAGTATTAAAATAATGCAGGAGTCATTTAAGACGATGATAAGAAGAATGGAAATAAGGTAGTAATAAGTAAGCAGTAGTGCAATAACTTTGAATAATAAGTTACGCACTTTAAATAAACAAACGAACGAACGACGTCGTTGTTCCACTCTCCTCTATTACTAAGAGCACGTTATTCATTTATTACATAACTGTATTCAAATTACAAATGAACGTTACTGATGGTTGCCTATTGAAACCGATTCATTCAGTAACATTTGGCGTTCGTAGATATCAGATATAGAACTGGAGTTTATAATCTCACTTGCGCATTATAGCAATGACACATGCAAATTTTCATTTATTTAATATTTTTTGTATATGTACAACGAGAAACAGAAGTTTCAATAGAAATTCAAAATCGCCTGATTGCTGTGAATATTATTTTTCCTCTTAACGTATAGCAGTCTGTCTCGTCACGAACGTAATGAAATTGTAAAGCAAGACATTTGTTTAATAATTTAATTTAAATTGTTCAATCACGAATGATTAACGTTGTAATTAAAATCGATCTGAAGACGGTAACGAGTGTTTTATTGTGTTATTTTTGTGTGATTAATTAAATCATTAAATTATAAGTAAATTATTTGAAACTGTGATTTAGATTTTTCTAATTTTGCAATCATTTTGCAAGAAAACAATGCAACAATCAAAGCTCCAATCGCGCTGTGAATAAAAATATGCCAAAAGTATAAAGAGTCCGCAAATCTCACAACAAACAGCTAAGATATTATACGCGTATATTTTGTATTTTTTTTTATTAGCCAACCGTTAAAAATGCAGAGAGTAATAAATGAGCCGTTCACTGCACAAATCGGTTAGATCCACTTTTTGAAAAATCTTAAATTCAAGTGCCAGAGCATTTTGTATAGTCATAACTTTGTATATTTATAATAACTGTCCTGAATAATACAAATTAACAGCGTTAAACGACAAAATTTTCTTGGCCATTGAATAGTAAATAATTTATTTCAGAGGCCATTTTGATCGCATTTCTCAACTTTTTAACCGACTTCGAAAAGGAGGAGGTTACTCAATTCGACATTTATATTTTTTGTTTTTGTTTGACGGAGTTAATCGATTTATGCACACAACAAACACTTAAGATATTCTATTCTACTTACACTACGTACTATACACTATTCCTTAAGTCTTACTTTCAAGGGAACCATCAAACATGGTACCAATGAGTTTTGATGAAAAATCGGTGTTAAAGTTTTCAACCAAAAACTTCATCCAAGATTCCATCAAAATCCATTAATACCATGTTTGATGGTCCTTCTGTTAGTCCTGGGCGTGTGAAACATACAGCTAGGAAATTCTGCAGGTAATACGAACGCGTCAGAGCAAACGTTGAGCGATAAGTGGTCGATATTGATGATCTTTGATCTGTAAGAGTTAGGAGATTTAACGATGACGAATGGTTCTCCAGGTTCTTCGAATCCGTTCCTCCGATTGGCGTTCATCTCTCGTTCTATTTCCGTGAGCGGAGGAACGGGTGGCCAGTGATTTATGGATCTGGTAATTGAAACCGACAAGGTCTATCGTGTCACGGTTACGAAAGCTAGGGTTCGCCGCGGAAGAGGTTCCTTCATTTGGTTTGGGGAATGTCACGACTGGCGTTAACGATCCTGTGTCATCGTGGAGATGTTCCTCGGAAACGGGAAACGCGCGCGACGTGTAAATATTTCAGTTTTCTTTAAGGACACGACGAAGCTGTTCACTGGTTAGGGATGTGGAATCAGAGGACTTTAATCCTTTTCCTGTTTAAGGATACATTCTAGTGTAAACGTTTAAAACGGGGGGCTTCTTTGGGAATTAAACGGAAGGAAACTGTAAATCGTATAATGATAAATGGTTTTATACTTCATAATACGTATGTTGAAAGGTATAAAAAAATGTTGGTTGATTATTGATATGAAAACTAGATAAACAATGTAATAAGGATAAAAGTATATAAGGTTCCGTTTAAACGAATTAATTTGTTTTTCAAATCTCTTCCACTACTGTACTTACAACAAGATTATTCACGCCGTATAATTTATCCATTTGAACAGAATAACTTTTATAAAAACATTTTTTCGAAATCGAAAATAAAGAATGCCATTTTGTCATTTAAGGTTTCGTTCTCCAGAAAAACAGTTTCAAAAATTCAGCGAGTACGCGTACACGTAACTATGGTTTAGATGGATGGATCCCGATACAAGTCATGTATCACTTATGAGTAGTACTAATATCATTAGTATCAAGATGGTGTGCTGTATTACTCATTTCTGCCTACGGATTTAGAGTGAATTTAAATGAAAATAAAACATGTAATTTAGTTACTAACTTACTTTATTAATCTAGTATAATGAGTTTCTCGCGAACGAAACCTCAAATTAAAAAATTTTATACCTTATTTTCGATTTGCTTTTTCATGTAGAATCACCTCCTTCTCGATTGTACCACCGATGCTGGGACACCCTCTACCCATGCTCACATTTTAAATTGAGGCTCATAACTCCGTTTTATTTAGCCCAATAAATTTGAAATTCTTTGAAAATATTCTTGAAATGTCGCAGTTCAAAAAGATACCATTTTTTGTAATTTCTATATAACCCCTAACTTTTAAACCATACGTTACAAACATTACGATTCGATAGGAACTGATTATGGGAACTATTCGAGCTATCCCATAGCCGAGATTCCCGCGATTTGCCTTTTCGAAGTCTCGGAAACGCATAAACCACGGTGCGTTAAACTTTCGGACAACCTGGAGAAGCACTACAAGGAACTATTACGCGGGTCATAAAGGCGTTTACGGATCGACGGCGCGTAAAAGAGCCAGTCTATGAAAAGGCCACGGGGTACGAGGGGGTTATTAACCCCTCGTCGGTGATACTTTGCCGCTCTCGCGAACGTGAAATCGGAAATACAAGCCTTTCCGTCGACGGGCGGACTTCTGTGGAAACGGTGCGCGTGCCAGACACGTGTTGGAGCCGCTAACCCCGCTACTTTTTCACCCCTCTTCCGGCTCCGATATCCACGGATTCGTCGCGCTGTTTCTGTTGTCGATATTCTTTTCAGGCTTTCTGCCCATTGAAAATACCATTGTCCGCATTCGCGTCGTTGATTCTCCGCGAAGGGCGTAAACGTTGCGAAAATTACGTGTTTCAGGGTATATTTTACGACGGGGATATTGGCACAGTCGAAGGA